GCATGTTCCGAATGCATGTTTCGAATGCAATTACAGAAATAATAAGTTACAATACGTAACTTTCCGCACAATTGAAAAATGCGTGTGTTAATGCCGAAAATAAATTCATTAAGTATTCCCAATTACACAATTTTACAATTTCTCTAGACTATTACCTGTAATTGACCGATTCTGTCGTACATATAAACGAGCTACTAACTTCTGGAGGCAATTATTGTTGCAAAGGTAGACCAGACCGACCCGGAAATTAACCTAGGGCTCAACCATTCACTTCTTATCAAGCTGAAAAATGGACAGTAGAATACCAGATACCATTTAAATATTAAGTTCAAATTGTGAAGGAGAAACCACTGGAATGATGAAATATCAAGTTGGAAGCATAAAAAATGCCACGCAAAACTTAATGGGAAATCGATAGGATGAATGGACTTGATTTACGACGGCGGTCAAGAGCTTCCTAAGAAGGGGGATGAAGAGGTGGAATCCAGTGACGTCTGTTCGGCAACGTCATCATCGTTGACATGGGGGCGACATATTATGATGGCATAATATGGGTTATATCCATCCCACCCACCACCACACTTCACGACTTCTCGAACTTTGGACTTGAAAATTGATAACACGCCAAAAGCGAATTCGAAACCGGTAACACACACACGCGCCACCAAGTGCCTCCCAAAAGCCCCATTCAATATCTTTCCAGATAGACAGTGGAACTTTTCGTATCCCGAGACCCAGGCGTGCTATTTTTACATGTTGTGAAATAGGTTTAAGCTGAGCTAAACTTTAAAAATAGATCAACTAACTAGGAACAAGGGAAAGGTTGAATATCCAAGCAATGATTTTCTAACATTATCGGTTTTGAGTTTAAAGTATAATTAGTAAATCATTTATTTTGGTGCATTATAATTTGCGTTTCAAGATCCGTCTTTAAAATATATCGAAAACAATATTGCGGATATTTTACCACATATTGGCGAATTAATAGACCGTGAATGTGGCGTCCCTTTACTTAAGATGATTTCCAATTTTGCCAATATTGTTTACAATTCTAAGAATTAAACTCCAGAAAGTAGCGTGGATTCTGATATATTGCAACATTATTATTAATAATTGAAATTTGCAGTATGAGTTTTTCTGATAAAAACATTCATAATAAGTAGACGAAATTGATACATTTTTAAATACAGAAATTAAAGTAAAATACATTTATTGAACGTTTGGCTTCCGATTCGGATGTGTAATTTATGAGTACTAAGTTGTTTGACATATGTGTAGATTGTTTAAAAGTCAGAAAGAGAAACATGAGAAAATTTGAAATACGACTTTGAAAGCCATAAATCTCATCTTAAGTAGTTGCTATTGTAGATTGTTTAGAGTTTTTTTCTGACCTTAAAAAGACAAATATTTCTACCCCATAAACCCTTCAAATACAATTGACTGAACTACGACAACGTGTTAGCCGCGTGAAGGGCGATAGCGAAATGTTAAGTAATATTGTCTATATAGGGAACGGCAACGATATAGCAATAGTCATATATGAACGTATTTTTATATCTGTATACTTATATGTATAAAAACCAACTTTCGTTGCGAACACTCAAGTGTCACGTTAATTTCACGCAGTCGACGGCAACGAAGTATATACTTGTAAATTAGATTCGAAAATATTGCACGATATGTTTAAAAATAAGTTAGCAGCTAATTGTGCAAATTTCGCATCTAAGCCCCCCTCTTTGACCACAATTAAATTATACCCAGCGGCGCATAAATCAATAAGCTGATTTGGAGCAATATCGACATCCAACAAACAGATTCCCAGCGTGTTCCCGACTTGGTTGTTAACGGGTTTGCTGTTTGACTTTGGCTGTTATTCGCTAAAACTGTCGAGCACAGCCGCGAGTCAAACCAAATATAAGAAAACATGTGTATATACATATATCTAGAATATGGCAATAGCTAATAAACAATCCCCAACAGCAGCAGGCAATAGGCTACCAAAATATTTATTTACACATTACAATAAAAACCCTCCTTGTCCGCCGCCAGCGCTGAAAATGTGCAAATTTGAAATGAAAACAGGTCGGATTAGTTTTTGGTATTCTTGAAATATTGTTGAATCGAAAAACAAGCGTTGAATGAGATTTCCTTTTTATGGCGGAACTGGAAATTTATATCCAGATCGAACAATTGCTGTAAATCAGAACAATCCAATTAAAGTTAACTTTTTGGCAATTTTAAAGCCCTTGTACAGTGAAATTTGTTTATTTTTATTAGTCAAGTCAAAGCGTTACTAAATAAATCAGTTAATTGATTGTCTATGCAACGAAAAAAGTTATTGTTTGGCGATATAATAAAAAAGAGAACTCTTTAAAATAACTTTAAATCCTTAAACGTTTTTTTTTTTTACAAGTGCCAGTAGAATGTTGTGTTATTTAGCCTATCCAACTTGATCAATCAACTGTAATTGACCTTATTGAAATCAAAGTGTGGGAATTTAAAGTGAATTATGGAACCCCAATTGCCCCAACCCAGAGTAATATTGACTTCCCCCTCATTATCACAAATGATTGAACTATTTTAGCAATATTCATTTGGCACACCTAGCGAGCGCGTGTTGTTTTCTTCAAATGTTTTTCCTGCTTCAATTATGAGTTCTGATAATTGAATTATCAAGCAATTAAAGCTTTGACTGAAACGCCCCATAAAAGCACATAAAAAAGTGCCTCGGACAGGCGCCGTAATTCAGAAATTCGAAAATCAATAGGCACCAAAACGCAATCAATAATAATCGCAGCCCAACCGCAAACAAATAAAACACTTTAAGAAGCCCATCAATCGGGTATACATATGCTTGGTCGGACTAAAAGGTTTTACTATATGTTGGGAGTTCTTAGTCAAAGTTGGAAGTAGATATAAAATAGTTCTGAAAAGGCCATCTATAACTTTTCTTTTAGTAAACTTATTTAAAATTCGAACAGATTCGAACTGTAAACTTCAAAGCAGTGAAAATGATTTCCCACCGTATTTTATTTAGTCATAATAAATGTAAAGAAAATTTGTTATTCCACATTTATTATTACCTTAAGTGTTTTACGATAGTTTTAAACGTAAGCTTTTTGCAAATATACGGCATACATTTTTTACTCATTAGAGTAATTGAGTCACCCTTCTTTCGAGAACAATTGATTTTAGAAAAAAAACTCGTAAGGCAAATATAATAATGAGAAACTATAAAGATAGCGACATAAAATCATTAAACAAAAATTAATCTCCAATTCTTTTTTCACCCACATTTCCCACACTATTAATTCGGTTAGTTGACCTCTAAAATGTACAAACAAACGGAATTTTGATGCCAGCCCACAACAAAACTGTATAATCTAATACCAAATTCATGCCAGTCCACTTTATAGGCCAAGCCACTTTACGAATACAAATTGGACATGCTCGAATTTCGAGTCATGACAGTCACCATCCATAGATATGGTACCACAAGGTCCCAAGAAGGAATCGTACAATGAAACAAATAGGAAAAATCCATCAATCAAATCGATCATGAATGGGAGAGAACGTCCGACTGACTGACTACTCAGTCGCACGTCCATCATATTCCGAGTCCCTGACGTGATAAGGGCGAAACTCATTGAGATGGTGGTCAACGGAATTATTGCACAACTGATAAGGTAAAACAGAGGCCTGAAGAGGACCATCTGAAGTGCATCGATAGGCGAGTAGTGCTGACTTCGGGGTTTTTTATTTGCCCGCACCAAAGGGTATTTATACCCTTGCAGAGGGTGATCTAATTTCAGGCAGACTACATAATATAGCTGCTATACGAACAATTGGAGTACTAATACACGCATTTAAAAAATTCGGAAGACTATATCATATAACAAGATCGGCACATTAATAAGAAAATAATAGGAAAATCAAAAAAACGATCTCGAGAAAATGTTATTTGTATAATTTCAATAACAAGTTCGCTTTCATTGTTTTAAAACAATTCGAATATTACACAGTCGGTAGATTGAATCGTTAGTCACAATCGTTAGTCGTTAGTCGATTTATAGAATAATACATTTTTATTACAGCTGTAAGGGTATGTAACTTTGGTTTGCCGAAGATAGTTTGATTCGTGTAGCGTTTTTTGGTTTCCCGCTGAAAACCGATAAGCTTATTTTTACGATATGGTTATCCGTGTGATGACGTTATGTTTTGTGTCAGTTTCTCTTTCCCTTTTCCTCATTCCCTAAAAAAATGCCGTTCCCCAATGTTGGTTCGCTGATAATGGAATGGTTATGGCTCAGCGCCCTCTCTCTTCCTCTACGTAGTTCTTTCCAAGTTCTGCCTTCGGAGCCGATAAATCACGCGGCCTCTGAACGGCAGATTAGCTCGCACAAATTGGCCCACATAAAAATACAAATAGAATAAAAGTAATACAATGTACACGAAGCAAGTGTATAATTTATGGGGTGCTGAACGATCAGAAATCGAATTTCAATTGAGTCGTGGTCGATCCCTGAGGAAATAATAACTAATGATGTGTAAGACAACGCGAATTCTTTAGGAGAGAATGACCTACCCTTAAAAAAATGCAGGTATAAATAAAAAGAACGAAAGTTCTTCAGAAGATGATGGCGCATTTTCTTGGTGTCTCAGAGTAGGACTACCATTAGGTAGGTGACGTAATACATATTATTCCTATAGCACATTTAATGGGAGAGTGTCAGAACTACACTTTACTACGAGTGGAGAGTAAATATGATTTTATATTTGAACTTATTTTAGCAAATAAATAAAATGATATCATGGCCCTATGAAAAATAAAAGGGGGTTCCCAATTTTTAGATATCTGTATGAATACTTTAGGACATTGGCTTATTCTTCAATATTGCTCAGAATTGTCATTCCCCAACGAATTAAGAGCAGCCAAGTCGACCCAGTCTAACTTGTACAATCAAGCACTCATCCGACAATCTGTTATCCTTCTCTTATAGCTGGCCACACGCTCCATTGAACCGTCGTTCGGCCTGCTCTTTGGCGACACTCTCAAGGATCTCAATGTGGGCACGACGGGGGCAGCGGTGATCATCAGTGCGCTGGACGTGTGCATGAACTTCTCTGGACTGTTTGTGGGCCCGCTGCTGAAAGAGTTCTCCTACCGCAAGGTGGCCATCGCCGGATCGCTGCTGTGCGGCCTTGGCCTGGCGCTCACATCGCCGGCGACGAGCATGGCCCACATCCTAAGCACTTACTCCGTGATCAACGGCATCGGCGTGGGCCTCTCCACGTCGGCGGCCTTCGTGGCCCTCAACCACTACTTCAAGCACAAGCGCGGCCAGGCGGTGGGTCTGTCGATGGCCGGGACGGCCATGGGCATGCTGATAATGCCGCAGCTGGTGCGGATCCTGCTGGAGGCGTACGACTTCCAGGGGGCGGTGCTGCTGCTGGCGGGCGTGGCCCTCAATGCCACGGTCGGATCGGTGCTGCTGCAGCCGGTGAAGTGGCACATGAAGGAGGAGTTCGACGACGAGGAGCTGATGTGCATCTCGGCCCTGCCCACCCCGCAGCCCCAGCTGACGGTGGGCGGAGTTGGGGGCGCGGCATCAGCTGGAGCGCCCGAGTTCAAGGTGATCAAGGAGGATGGCAACGAGGAGGATGCCTTGCCCGAGTTGAACACGCTGCTGTTCAACAAGCACCATCCACACCAGCACTCGATGCGAAAGAACTACTCCGAGATGGCCATGAACACGATGAATGGTTCCAGGCTGGGACTGCCCAAGAGGCCCACTTTCCCGCGGATCATGTCCCTGGCCGGTGTTCAGTCCGCCGCCCATGGAGCGGGCGGAGATTCGGGCGGCTACACATCGCAGGCGGAGGTCAACGCCACGCAGCTGCGCTGCCGCAAGGCCTCGGTCACCTCGAACCTCTCCTACATGGACTTCACCGGCTCCATTCTCCAGGTGCACCTCAACACCGGCGACGATGAGTTTGAGCAGAACGATCGCGAACTGCGACGTGTCGGCACCGCCACGGGCAGCATTGTCCTCGGCGGTCACCGGGACAGCTTCATCAAGATGAAGCCCACCGAGCTGGACAAGCAGGCCGAAGCAGCCGCCGCCCTCGACGAGGAGGCCAAGAAGAAGGCCAAGAAGCCGGGCTTCTGGCGCCGCTTCGCCGATCTGCTGGACATTGATATGCTCAAGGACAAGATGTTCCTCAATCTGCTCTTTGGCCTCTCCATTTTCTATGTGGCCGAGATGAACTTCAAGATGGTCACCCCGTTCTTCTTTGCCAATCTCGGCTACAAAAAGGCGGACGTCGCCTTCTGCCTCTCGATCACGGCCATCACGGATATCGCCGCCAGGATTGTGTTGCCTCCGATTTTCGATCGCACCACGATCAAGAAGCGCACCATTTTCCTTGTGTCCATCATCTTTGTGGCCCTGACCCGTTCAAGTGAGTAGCTATATTGTATGATTCATTTCATTTACGATTAGGTCTCAATTTCAAAATAAATGAAGTCCAGGATATTATTAGAGATTTTACTCTAAAGACTATTAGGATTTTTACAGATATAACCCTCGATGGGTATCCTTTTTTCTTGTGTTTCAAATAAGTAACAATGACATCTTGATCATTTTAGTTATGGCTGAGCAAACGGAGTGGACCCAGTTGATGGTGTGGCTTTCGATTTGCGGCTTTTTCCGTGGATCCGCCCTGAGTAACTTTACGCTAACCGTATCCGAATACTGCTCACTGGAAAAACTGCCCTCGGCTTTTGGCTGGCATTTGGTGGGCAAAGCCGTGTTCGTCATTACTTTTGGACCACTTATTGGTAAGGATCATCTATATACTGACTGCTTGACTCCTTACTTAACATGGCGTATCGTCAATTTCAGGTCTCATTCGGGACGTAACCGATAGCTACCCGATTTGCATACACACCCAGAGCGTTTGCATCATGATTTGCGCCATTGCCTGGGGCATCGAGTACCTGGTGGAGTACATCCAAGTGAGACGTCGCACCGCCGATGCCGCCCAGTTGCCCACCCAGGATGGAGGTGCCACGACGATGACGACGACGACGGGACAGCACGATGTGAAACTGTAAGGCGATGGCGGCAACATAGATGGACCAGATAGATCTACTTTAAGGAAGACAGTCTCGCCGCGGGGCGGAGGATTTCCTCCAGCGAGTACCCAACTTTAAATATACTTAAGAGGGTCCCTGCACAATGCAAGGGGAAAACTGTAACTGGGGAACAGGGGTTTTTTCTGGCTCCCCACTTCGTTTAACACTCGAGTGTACGGCCCTAATCCCCCAAAATGTATTAAAACTCAATTTAGTTAAGTAATTTTTTTCGTTTGCGCTCTTTTTTTTTGCAATATGTTAGGTGAGTCTTAAGATCTTGGAGACATAATCACACACACTCCATACCACACATATAACCATTACGATATATAATATATATTGATAAGCAGGATTTGTGAGTTTTAGTTGTATGGAACACATCTCTCAAATGTAACCAACCCAACCCAAGGGGATACAAAAAATAATGCCCCACAAAAACCACAACAAAGTGCGTTTAATTATATTTGTTAAAAAAAAAGAAAAACAATATTCATTCATTTATGTTTCCAAGTTTTTTTTTCTAATTTCCGCCATTCTTTTTCTTTTGTGTTTTGCCTTGAATTGTTCTCTCTTTTGTTTATTAGTGAACTTGTATGTGATAGTTCAAAGATAGTTTTTAATTTAGAAGTTAATCTATACTTATAGAAATACAGATAAATGCATCTGCAAATATATTGATGCGACAACAAAGTAAGAAGAAAATATTGAAAATTGATCGGCTTTAAAATGTACCTTAAGAGCGATGTTAAGCAACGACAAAACAACTAAACTATACAAACATAAATAAAAAACAATATATATCATTTATTGTATGTGTCATTTAGAGACAACTTTGGTGTTAAGCTAAGTGCTTGAACTGAAAAGTATACAAAAGATGAAATAAGATGAGATGGACAAAGGAATTGAAAAGCCCGCCAGAGGTAAAATTTCCTCAATTTTGAAAACTATGGGGCCAATCCTAACCAACCAAATGCCACAATATATATTTACAATTGAAGGTTCCTTACAGCGGAGCATTAGAAAGCTCTAATACATTGCTGATCAAGATCAAAATCGAAATGAAAGCCTTATATGTGTCCGAAATTTAGTATATTGTAAGACATGTTAGACAATTTAACCAATCTAACTAACAAATCCCAAACGATAAGCAATAAAACGCAAACAAACCACTCAAATCGTGGTGCAAATGACCAAGTAAACTCTATATAGCAAACTTTTGGGCTCAGTGAGAATTGCTACACTGAAAAATTAAACAACCGTTGCCCAGACAACGAAATTCGGATATACTATATACACAAACTATTATATTAGGAATATTTTGGGTACTTGAATTTATCATGGAGTATATATTTTTTTTCGGATTAGTACATAGTAACGAGCGATTTTGATACAAGCGTATGAAGCAAACTTTTGGAAATGTATTGCCCGATATTGTAGCCTTATGAATCAATATATATTGTATCAGTATATGAATTTGTGTATATTAAATTGGAAATAAAATGATGAACAAATAAAGTAATAACAAACATTTATTTGAAAGGGGAGATATTTTCTGGAACTAATTTTGACATTGAAGCGAAAACAAAATGGGACAGGTAATATCATTGTTATTGCGGGGTTGGGAATCATCTCTAAATATTTGAAATAATAATAATTTTCACTAACTCTCGCTCTCGGCATTTACTATAATTAAAAATTGATTATTGATTAACAATTGATGTGCTCTTATCTTCAGTACCCGAATAATCGGACGAAACAAGGCTCTTTGCCGAATGATTTTCACATAATGTCATCATATATGAACACAGAGATCCGGCTGAGATAAACCCTATCATCATTATCACCCAAAAGTAAACAAGCCAATTTAGAAGTCATTTATAGGATGTAGTCGAGCAGTACTCATGCGTCCGGGGGCAAACAAATGTAATGCGTGAAAAATAAACTTAAGTTTGTATAAATTAGACACAAGAAATCTCTTTAAGGAGAAGGCGGGGGAACTGTTGTAAATCTAGTGACAAACCTGTCCAAACCATTAGTTCTGAAAAATCTTATCATGCGTTGGCCCAACTTGTTTTCGATGATAAGATGATAAAAACCAAATGAATGCTCAAACATGTTTCCGTTATTCGCAAATGAATTATTACAATTACAACTGGAATTCGAAAGGGGCGTGAAAGGTTACGGAAATGCTCGGAAAAACACGGGGGGCAGCATCTATGAAAATACTGAGTATCCCGGCTTATCTTATCGCCAAAGTCATGTTATAAACCTTCCTCATAAGAAGCTTAGTTTGGTCATAAAGACCCGAGGTGCGATAAGCGGATGGTAATCGAGTTAGTGGCTACTGGATGCGCCGACTTATACGACGGGATTGATATATGTACACGGACGGATGGATGCCTCAGATATCTGGGTGACGACCGCAATCACTTGCCGCCCAGCAGCCCGCGGAGCAGCAGCCACCCGGCAATCGAGATGAAGAAGTCTAAAACCTACACCTTGGAGGCCCCCGATGGCGGTTGGGGAATCCTCGTCTGCATCGGCATGGCCATGCCCTTTGTAAGTGGAACCGGAAAGAATCTCCTTTGAATGATCCGTAAATCAACTCAAATATATATTGTTCTACCCCGATTTGTATTTTTGAAACAGTAGTGCCAAGAACTATCTAAATTACTTTAAAGTAACACAAATAAGTGCAGTTTTTAAAAAATTAAATAATATATAGGAAACATTCTTGCAAAAAAAAAAAAAAAAAAGACAAATTCTACGTGAAACCCATTATTTTTTGTGAGTGATTGAAAAAGTTGAAAAAAATCTTGGCGAATGGACAGTTTGTCGATATATCCTGTTAATTATGGATTCGTCATTATATTGTGAATTTAATTATTATGTTTATATTTAAAGTTGAAGAAATTTGTGGGGAATTATACGGAATCTATCATTATTTTTTTTGTGAAATATATTATATTGTTATTATATTGCTGTTTTTTGCAATATATTTTTTGAAATTAGCTAAATAAATTTTCACAAAGAATAGTTAATTGTGACAAATGAAGCATATCTTAAGATTAGTTTTCCCAAAACTGTTTGCCAACTTTATGAACATTTACGATTCATAACTTTCGAAAAAAGAAATGTGACTCTTAGATAATAAAGACTCACCTGATCATCCCTTTCACAGACAAGTGCTCTCGCCGCCTTGCCATCGTTTGGCCTTGTTTTCGGGGACTTCCTGAAGAGCATCGGGGCGGAGTCGAGTGCCATGGCCATTATCACCAGTGCCTTCTTCTCGTCGATGAGCTTCGCCGGCCTGTTCTCCGGCTCCCTGTTCCAACGCTTCGGGATGCGAAGGGTGGGCGTCGTCGGTGGAATTCTGTATTTCCTGGGCACCGGGTTGCAGTTGTTCGCCACCTCCACAATGCACCTGATGCTGGCCTTCAGCCTGGTACAGGGACTGGCCTTTGGGCTGATAGTGCCCACCTGCTACACGACCTTCAACCACTACTTTGTGAAGAACCGGGTGTTGTGGATGAGCTTCGCCCAGACGCTGATCGGTCTGGGAGCAATGCTGTATCCGATTGTCATGCAGAAGCTGATGCAGTGGTATGGCTTCCGGGGCTGTCTGCTTGTCCTCACGGGGCTAAATGCCCATGCGATACTGGGCATGCTGGTGATGCATCCGGTGGAGTGGCACATGCGTCGCGTGCCCATTGCTCCGGAGGAGGAGGAGCTTAAGTTGCAGGAGCTGGAGCAGCCGGTGAAGCCAACAGTGGTGGTGAGAGTGCAGCCGGAGACGCCTTTGAAGGCGCCCACGGAGGAGCCCTGTTTCCACGGAGATCCCGTATCGCGTCGCCTCTCCCACGCCGAGGAGCACATGCTCAAGGTGCACTGCAGTCGCGCCTCGAGCATCACCAGCCTGGGCAACTGGTCCGGACCCGTGGTGGTCAGCGATGCCTCTCCTCAGATGATGCACAGCCTGCAAGCTTCTCGAAGGCAGAGTATGGCGGCTGGTGGTGCTGCAGGTGGTGCCACTGGAGGATCGGTGACCCAGGTCCAGGATGACGACCCTCCCAAGAAGGGCTGGGTGCGCACTGTGGTCGATTTCCTCGATCTCACGCTGCTCAAGAAGCCCATCTACGTAAACATCGTGCTGGGCATCACCTTCGCCCTCTACTCCGACATCACATTCTTCACCATGCAGCCGGTATATCTCTTCGAACTGGGCTACAGCAGGGTGAGCTATTGAAAAAATTGAATTATTAGTAATCTTTACATATAAAAATGGGGTATATATGTGATGACACACCAATGGCTGGAAAATAGATTTAAGAAATAAATAAAATATCAAATTAATAGTTTTTTAAAAACGTCAAATTACATGTACATATGTATAAACATCCTAGCTAATACTCAGCACAATAACAACATACATGTATTTTATTCTAAACATGCATTTAAAAAGGTAGATTCAACTTACTCAGTCATTAATTCATTTACATATTTATCACGCCACTTTTTATTGTTTTGTAGACAAAAGATCCTTAAAAACAGACTAACATTAAGGCGTCGAGAAAGGAGCCCCAAAAGGGTATTCTCAGTCACGAACGACTCAACGTTTATCAAGTTTTTATTAGGTGTTTCAAAATGTGTTGAATACAAATACAAATATGAATATTAATACCTAATAGGTAATATATAATAGTACGCAATTTCTTATTGCCAATACAAACATGTCTTGTTTTCTGGCATAAAATGGCTAAAGCTAACATACCTGGGAGAATAATCATTTAAAAATTCCTTCACTTTTAACAAACACAGCACAATTTAACCAATATTACCTTTGCACAATCATTATAATTAACGGCATTCGATTTACGCACTTTTAATTGATTTATTTAAAGGACTATTTAGTTCACTCACTGATCGCACAAGAATGGCGTCTACGAAAGGGCCAACAAAGGGGAATTCGAACAAGCGCCGCCATTTTTTAACCGATTGCTCTCAAGCTTTGGCTGCGCTTATCGATAGTGGATAAGGTGATCGATATGTGATCACTTATCTGATCAAGTTATTTTGTGAACGCGACCACTCATTTGATTTTTATTAACAATTTCACTATTGTGTTTAAGTGTTCTACAAATAAATAATAATTAATTTAATGGTTCGCTGGCTACCCAAAGTGGTTGATGTTGTGGTACATTCATAAATTTCTTAAACTTGTTTATACCGAAAGAATTTATTCTGTAGTGATGATGTTTTAAGTCTTAATATCATGTTTTCAGCCGGATACCGCCACCATTATAGCAATTGGAGCAGCTGCCGACTTGACGTCCCGAATTTTCCTGGCCATCACAGCCGTGTGCATCCAAGTACCCTCGCGATACATTTATTTAGCAGGAGCAGTGCTCACAGTTTTTGCACGATTCGGTAAGGGCATCTCAGAAACATTGGATTTCTAACCTGTCTTAAATTCTCAACAGTTTTCAATGGGATCACTGAGTTTATGGGAATGGCCATCATTACGGCTGTGATTGGGTTCCTTCGCACCTGGCTCCATGTCCCCTTGCCTCTGGTATTTGCCGACTACTTGTCCAAGGAAAGGTAAGTCCAAATTTTATACTCCAAAAAATTTTTAATATATACATAACTGTTTTATCCAGGTTCGCCACTGGCTATGGTCTGTTCATGTTCACCCAGGGCAATGCCATGTTTCTGATAGGCCCCATTGTCGGAATTATACGCGACAAGACCAAGGACTACATTCTGGTCTTCCACATCCTCAATGGCTTCATGATCCTGTGCGCCGTTCCCTGGGTCATCGAAGTGCTCATCGTGAAGTTCCGAAGGCGCAACAAGATCGAACGCAACAACGTTGATCACGACGAGGTGGAAAACCAAGGACGTAGCGCGATAGTTCATTAAAAAATATTTTCCGTTTCCTTAGTAATAAAAATATAACAACTAACATTTTATACATTAAGAGTAATTCAGATTCATCAACAATTGCTAGAAGTGTTAAAATAAATTCTTTAAATACAAATAAAATTCGAAGTTTTCAATGCTTTTTAATAATTAATTATACAAGACTAAGAGTGTCGTAAACAATTTTGTTGTTTATTTTGGATTTATTTTTAGACTTTTCATTTTCAAAACAGAGAATGACAAATGTAATATTTAGTTTTTGATGCGTGATTATGAAACTCGATGAGATGAAATGAGGAATGTAGTATCATTTTACGATTCAGTTAATTTTAAACAAGGTCCTTGCAAGTACCGGCCTGTAATTTAACCTCTTTAAGTTTAATTTTTTATTCAATTCTTTAATAATTTGCATTAAAAGTGTGGTTTTAATTTGCAACATGTTGCAAGAAAGTAACCCAGTGCTGCGATTCTATTATATAGATCTTTGAAAACTTGAAGAGGTCCATTTTATTTAAAATGCTTAGTATGAAAAATGAAAACAATAAATCAATCAATAATATTTATAATAATTCCAACATTTTGCAGCTGGAAATGAATGAGTTTCAATAACCGTTGAGTCACTGTTTTTGGTATATACACACATGTATTTTGGCTACACCATGTGGTATTCGTCACTGCTAGGGTGGCGGTCACACTAACGGGACCAAAACCGACATTTAGTAAATAATATTAACTAAGTTAGCAGGTGACAATGCTGCAGCAAATAAAGATGCTGGTTCTGGGCATCATCACGCTGTGCCGGCGTGCCTTGTGCTGCTTCTCCAGGCGCCGGAAGCTGAGCCACAGCGGCTCCTCCGGGAACGGTGACCAACTGCAGGCGGTGAACGTGATTGTGGAGCGGGGAGAGTTCTCCGCCGCCTCCTCCTCCGCGGGAAATCCCTCAGGTGGCCGGTCGGCGGGTCCCGGTCCAAGGGATCGGGACTGGAACTCTTGGGACGACAGTCCGCGCACCGTGGAGGAGCACATCGAGCAGTACCGCCAGCGAATGGCCCAGCCACCCACTCCCCCAAAGGAGGAACCCGAACCGGACTTCTTCAGTGTGAGTTGGCATATCGGCAATCCGGTGATTACACCGCGGGTCAGGCTAATAGCACTGGGATTTCTACGGACTGTGTATCATTTCCTTATCAGCCGTATTACGGTGTATCTAGATACTTTAACATACAGTTAACATTTATTGGATACTATTTATCTTTACTCTTATAACAAGTTCAACGAGGCATTAGATTATTTAGAATTTTGTTTAAATTTATGTGATACCCTTAATGATTTATTTTCAATATTTAAAAAAAGTCAATTATGCTGGAGAAAAAAATATAAGAGTGCACTGCTCTGTTAATGCAATCTTTTATAAAAAAGGTTACTATTTCTTCCAAAAGGAATATTTTTTTTTTTAAGCTGATAAAATTAATGTTATGGCCATATATACTTTTTTGTTTTATGTACCTTTGCAGCTATTTTATTTAGTTCCTTAATTTTTTCCCTGCATGACAGGTTTTGTTACTTATAAGTTTTTATGCTAGTCACTGCAACAATACTTCGTAAACAAAATTCGATTTGGTTAAGATCTGTATATTTGCAAATAACTTTTAGTCATGTTTTGCCTATAATCTTTATCTCGATACTTTTTTATTGCAAATACCTTCGGCATTAACTAGATACACAAACTAGTACATTTCTCGATATTATTTTAAAATGTTTTGCAATGTTTTCCACCGTACTAACTGCTCAAACACACATAATTAATATTTCAATATAAACAGCTGTAAAAAATACGACGACAAGTTAACAAAGCTTATAAGAGCCTATAAATCTAACTTGTTTGGTTGTCTATCACTTGCAGTTGTCAAGATACAACTGAATATAGCATTAATATCTAATCAACAAAATCAAATATTCTTTTAAAAAATCAAAAAACTGTTAAAAACTATACTTGATTTAGTGCGAGGAATATCTATTTGGAAATGACATATCAATTTATACAATAATAAAACTTAATACCTAGTAAAAAAAAGAACCAAAACAAAACCTTTTAAAAAATTAAAGAACTGTCCCTTAAATTTGTAATTTCTTAATGATAGTTATTTTTTATCTGAGCAATAGCCTTATAAGCCCACTGTCTAATTTTGATTTTCATCCCCCAGGAGCTAACGCCCACCATAAAGCCCCAGATGAAGTTCTACCTGGAGGATCCAAACGCGAGTGCTGCTGCCAACCAAGCAACGGACTTTTCAAGACTGCAGGCCCAGGACCTGGTGCCCATTAGCGATAACGTAAGTCCACTGAGACCAAGAGATGGGGAACTAAATATCTCTCCATTGGCAGGCCGATCTCGAGGACTGGGTGGATGACAATGCTGGCGGCTGGGAGGAGCTGGACACCTCCCAGACCAAGCAGATCCTGCGGGAAAAGCGGCGCGAGTTGCGCCACCAGCGGCAGCCGGCCGCCCGCCCAGCCCCGCCCACCGTGGGCGCACAGCGGCTGACCGACGGACAACGTGCGGCGTAGTTGAGGCTGCAACACCACCATCTCCTGCTCCTCCTCCTCCTCATCATCATCCACTTTGACCACTCCACAACCAACCACTTGCATTTTGTTTTCCTTTTCTTTTGTTCGATTTAGTTGATTGGCCACACGAAATAAATCTTGCCTTTCACTCGCACTTCCCTCCTCGCGGATCAGTTGGGCCACACTTCCTGATGGCTCTGCGGTTTCGGACACGCTCCATTGGCCATGCTTTTATATTGCCAATCGGATCCATAAAAGCAACGGCCGGCGGCGAGAGTCGCAGCTTTCAGTGCGATGCTGCTGCCGGAGCTGCTGCTACTCGGCTTGGCCGTCTCCCTGGCGGACAGCTACGACCGCAGTGTCAACTACTGGGAGGCCTTTGCTCCCGGCAAGCTGCTCCAGCGCCTGGATGCCCTAACGGTCTCGGATGTGGACCAGTCGAAGGCGTTAAAGCTACCGGAGATGATGCAGCCCGTCGTCCTAGCAGCTGCAATCGAGGCGCAAGCGCAGCCCAAGGCAGATGAGGACGTGGACGTGGACGGGAATGTGGAGGCGGTGGATACGGCGGACGACGATGTGGACAGCCTGAGTGCGGAGACCAGTCACGAGGGATACTCCGGGGAGGACTACGAGCGCAACTACGAGCAGTTCGTCCAGGAGTACTTCGATCGGGCAGCCGACAAGGACAACGAGAACGACAATGACGACGCCGACGATCTGGAGGAGGAGACACAGGCGGAAGCCAGCAATGTCAAGGATCAGCGCTGCAGGCGGGTCAAGCGGAAGGATGGCCAGCTGTGTGAAGTTTGTCGCCAGTTGAAAAACAACGAGGTTTCGGAGACGTGCAGCTACTCCCACGACGACCAGCCGGAGCAGTATGCCTTTGGCAGCGGCACCCAATACAAGCGTTACCGCCACGATCCGGCCGAGAAAAAGGAGCAAGAGAAGGAAAAGAAAGATGAGGAGGTGGCTCCCAGTAGCCTGTGCGTGCGCCGTCAGCAGGACAATAGTGTGTGCTACGCTTGCAAGGACAGCAAGGGCCAGAAAATCGAGCGCTGCTATGATGTCCAGACCAGGAAGGCCAAAACCAGAAAGAAGAAGGCCTCCTCCGCCTCATCCTCAGCATCCAAGAAACGGAAGCCGCGATCCCAGCAATCCCAGCAGTCGGAGCAGGAGCAGCGCATTTACAAACGCACCATCAGCTACAGCTATGCCCAGGGCACGGATCAGCAGGGTGAGCAGCCTCCGGCCGGGACAACGGACCTCCCACTGCCCCGTCAACGTCGCAGGCGACTGGTGAAGATAACCCGCAGACGCGGACCAGTCCCAGTCCAATGATCTTTGTTTTATGTTTTGTTTTTTGCGCCCAACTCATTGTATTCCCCACTCACTAGCTTAGATTAATTATTACACATTTTTTTGTTACAATAAATCATTTTATAAGAACACGTTGCATACTTGTGGGCTAATCAGCTAGTAAAGATTATAAAATATACAAAAAACAACAAACAGAATACATAATCCTGAAAGGTTACATTTCAGAATAGATAACAAATGCCTTGAAAAATTGAAATGTAACAAATATTTGAAGTCAACAGAGGAACGTCCCGAATATGGAGTACTCTAACAGTACTAATTAATCAAATTTGCTATCAGGTTGAACAAAATTAAATGAAATATTAACTTAAATAAGCAAATATCTTCAGAAAAGGAACAATAATTTTGCATATGGATAACATTTGCTTATAATGCAACGCAGAAAAAAATGTTGCATTTTTTAAAATGGAATTCATATTTTGAATTTGCTAATGAATTGAAAAGTTATGACAAAAAACACGTAAATGTTAAATTTAAAAAGCCAATGAATACAAAAATTATGAAATAGAATACTAAATATCGATCATGTATATCAGGACAAATTGTTATGTGGAGAGCGATTGGTCTGTGAAATATATTTTCAGATTAAAAACTTAAGAATTGTGTAATCAAAATATGATAAACAATACATACAAAATAAAATACCTAATACAATTCACATTAAAATCGATCCAAGTGATACACCGAAGAACATATTTTTGTCCATCACTATGGAGTTTTTTATAAGTGATAAATAAGACTCGTTGAATTGATTTCAATTGAACAACAAAACTTTCGTTTATTAGCGCGTCACGGGGTTTTCAGCGATTTCCCAATCGTTTTATTTAAATATAAAACCACGAACAAGTTTTTTACATTGGCATAGAACTGGATTTGACAATTTGCAATTAAACATACGCAAAGACCGTAGGTCCGAACAACATTGACTTAACTATCATTTTTGAGGAAAGAGATTTTCAAAACGCCGTTTGGAAAAGGACAGCAAGAGAGCAGTTGAAAATAGACAGCGAGTAGGTTGGTAAATGCAGCTTTCGGAATTGCTAACGTTTCGGTGCGACATTCAGTTAAGATCACATCGCATTTAATATGAAACCATACTCAAATACACTTGAATAGCACATAAAGTGTCTGAAACCTATAGTCTATTTGATCGTTGTTCTTAATTCGTTTTCTATTGTTGCGGCTGTGCTTTGTGCGTAAAAAAGAACATTGAATATTTATTGTGATCTGAATTGCATTTGCCTGTGCTTGAGTGAATAGAGAAAAATCATTAATATAGTAAGCAGTTTTCTGATCAATTTATCTTATTTGCTCAATCATCTTTCTCACACAGACTTACTCCCATTTGCACTTTCACGGGGTTCTCTTTTGATTAATTTTAGTGATAATATAATTGAATTTCAACAATTATTTATAGCTTTTTTCTCTTTAAAGAAATGTTGAATACCATTTAGGTTAAGACAATTCGGTACTTAATTAATAATAAACCGATTTGGTTGGTGATGCATTTCGATTGACTCGACATTTTAATTGCCCTACTTATTATAAAACCGTTTACAAATAAGCAATAATATAATGCAATGAACCTTGGAGTCTGAATTTAAATGAACGTGATAAGTGAAGATGGGAGCATGACTGATTGTTGCGGAATAAACAGAATATATTTGCTTTTAAAACTTCGGTGAGTTTTCTAACTACACAATTTCGAATCATCAGATCGTCACGGTGAACATTAGTATTCTTTCGGTTGTTAATTGTTGGCTATATAAATAGGTACATTATAGTTAATAATAGATATCTATAAATTGGCTGGCTTAAAATGTTGATCATCTTGTAAATATGACGGTTATCGTTATTACTAAAGCTTTTACTTCCATATCGTCGTTTCATCATCGTAGTATTCTTATTTTCTGTTCGAACATTTTGTGGCTGCGTTGCTTTCGTTATGTTAACATTTGCGTTTCAACTAGGGTTAAATATCTAGCAGTACAATAATATGAATATAAATTTTTAAAGCTTCATTTTGTATGGAAATGCCGCGCAGGGCATTTTTATATATATATATTATCCCTTCCATTCGCACAAAATCTCACTCGACGTGGAACGATTTAATTTGATAAACAAAAAAAAAGAAATTGGGAAGACAAACACTCACAAATAAAACTTAGAAAACTAAACTTTCTTATAAATGTAAACATATACATATATATTTGCAATATATAATTGAAAACAATTGAAACAGTAAAAGTAAACATTTTCAAGCGAACATTGGTGGATGATTTTGTTTTGTTTCGATTTCGATTTTGTAATTTTCCAGTGATTGGCACAAATGTTTCGAGCAGACGCAAAATGTGATAAAATGTAAAACAAAAAGTGCTTAAACACAAATAAAAACAATTTGTATATTTAAATATATTTAACTAGGGATACGATCTAGCTGCAATTGTTGTTGCTGTGGCTGCCGTGGATGCTAGCTGCCATGCCCTCCTCGAGGAGGGCTCCTTGAGTGGCGCCTCCAGTTGCAGTGACAGGTCCTCCAGCTCCTGGTGATTCAGAAATGGCTGCCGTTGTGGGCGTGATGGCCTTGGGTGCAAAGTAAACCTCGTAGTTGTAATATCAAAGCTCTTCGCTGGCCACTTTCTGCTCCTGCACGTACTCCTTGGGGAAGTAGCCCACCTGAAAAGGCAACTATTGATTAGGCTATCTCTCTTCAAAAGGGTAGTCCTTGGCCTACCGTGTCGCCGATCTTGCCACGCCACCAGCCCTTGCTGTCGCCGTCCTTGCCAATGACCAGCACCTGGCAGTCGGTGCGCAGCTGCAGCTGGTTGCTCCCAGCCTTCGGCTCGTAGTCGTACAGAGCGGTCGCGATCACCTCCTTGAAGGGCCACTGAAGCGACTGGTTGAGCCTGGAAAAGGATTCATCAAATTATGTGCTTTCTATATACATCCCTTTCTTCTAGCCTCAATGCACTAGAACGTGTCGGCCCTTAGTAAAGAAGATCTGTCTCATGTCTAGAATAAAATACGTTTTTGATCTAAAAAGACTGCCAGACTATCGGACATAATCACTATCATTACTTTATGAAAAGAAAATAGTTTTCTTCATAAACTTGTATAGATTTGGATGGACTTTAATCATGAAGTTTTCTTTTAACTATTTAGTATAACTTTATTCTTTGTAATGTTATATAAAATATTTTAAAAAATATTTCTAAAGAGATAAAGTTAATACAGATTTATGTTGGTTTTGGTATCGACCTATTAAACGTGGTTACTATCATTTTATAAACATAGTTTTCAATTATTCAATAAAGAATAATTTGTGCATAATTTTGTAAAAATTAATAAAATGCACAAATATTTTATATCTGCAAACTTAGCATAAAACTGAGTACATTTTGAAGTACAAGGTGGAAAACTTCGCTTGGTATAATTCGTAGACATAATTTTTCAAAAATATATATAAATATATATATATATTATAACGCATTTAGCTCACCCCGCAAAGTTCTCCCCCAGATCGTTGCGTTCGTAGTAGGAAACCAGTTCGACGATGGTCTTGAAATGCCTTCGCGAGGACAGGCAGTAGAGCATGGAGTCGCCGGAGTTCTCCTGGTTGATTTTCATATGCTTGATCACATGATCATCGGTCCTAGAGACAGAAAAGTAAGAGATGATGCAGGTGGAATAGCTAGCCAGAGTGAACCAAAGTCACTACTCACTTCAGGCTAAGAGCATACATCGTCTCGTGGGCCGTTGATGGACCCTGGGGACGAACGCGCAGCAGATAGGTGCCGATGCGTCGGTTCTCCAGCCGATGGGCCGCCGTCTCCCGATCCAGGTTGCCGGCGAACCAGTTGAACTCGGACAGCTGACGATCGCAGACGGGTGGCGGCACGCTCACCGGATTCTGCTTGCAACGCCCCGTCGACGAGATGCAGCCCTTGTGCACGCTGATCTGGCACACCTTGCACCGGTAGCCCTGGTGGATGCGGCCTTTGAGGAACTTGGAGCAGTGCCGGCACGTGGTCGGGGCGTCGAAGGTGTATATCTCCATTTTGTGGTCCGTACTGCGGCAGCCTGGCGGCTCGAGGCTTTCCCTGTGGATAGCCGTTTTACATAAGTTTCATATTTTAATATTTAGAAACCATATACTAACATGGCCTCGGTGAGGGCCTTGCGCCACTTGTCCCGCTCGTGCTCCGACTTGAGGTACAGGGTGAAGGCTGTCTTGCCCGACTTGCGGGCCAGCAGTAACTGGTACTTGAAGCGCGTGTCCCGGCCGAGGGTGCGCCGCGAATGGCTCTGCTCCACGCGATAGTCGGCCAGGTTGTGCGAGTCGCGGTAGGTGTACTGCATGTCGCCCGTCTTGATGTGCATCGCCTTCACCATGATGAGGATCTTGTCGAAGACGAAGGCGTAGCGGAGCTTGGTCTTCTGGTCCTCGTGCGCCTTGATGTGCAGCTCGCCGTCCAGGAGCAGGCGCCCGTACTGCAGCAGGTCGCTGCCGTTGCCGTTCTGCAGCAGATTCAGGTCGAAGATGCTGTCCTTGACCTTCTGGATGATGACCAAATGGTCGGAGTCGCGCTTCACCTCGTTGATGTACTGCGACACATCGATCATGGCCTCCTTGGCCCGCTCCAGCGAGCGGTAGTCTTCGTGCAGCGGCGACGTCTCCTTCACCAGCTTGTCCAGCAGCAGGTGATACTTGAGGATGCGCTGCATCGGCACCGACAGTATGTCGCGCAGCTGCAGCTTGCCCACGTTGTAGTCGCGCTCGCACTTCTGCACCAGCTGGTCGATGATCTGGTTCTTCTTGCACACGTCCGCCAAATAGTCTATAGCCCCCAGCAGGCACGAGCAGTACTCGCCGTAGATGAGGAACGGTTCGCGGAAGTCGAGGAACACCTGGGCCATCTTCTGTTTGGAATTGGGCGTCAGCGACTCCCTCAGCTTGTCCAGGAACTTGGTGTGGATGTCGGCCAGCTCCTGCAAATATCACACACCAAATTATCAATTAAATTGAAAGTAAAAATAAAACATCACGGTGGACTCACTCTGATGCGCGGGAATATTTGACGCAGCTCGTCCTGATTGAGGTGCCGCTCCAGGGGACCCATAAACTTTGCCTTCAGTGCGGTCAGCACGTCCAGGTAGTTGGACTCCGTGTCGATCAGCTCCCGGATGACGTAGTCGCGCTGCTCAAAGCTCGTCGTCGAGGCGGTCTAGGGGGAAAGAGGGAGAGATCCAGGGATTAGGGCGGTCGGGAACCAAGCGGCTGGGCCACCAAAGTGTCTCATGCACGGACAGGCGTCGCAATTCTACCTGGCTTCTACTCGTCCTTTGCAGGGCGCACAGATCTTGGTACACCTCCTCTTCTTTTGTGTTGGTGTGGTCGTAACCGGTTCCATTGCATGCAATATTGTCGGTGGTACTGAACGAAAAGGAAATAAATGCCAAAGGAAAACATAATAAATCATAATAAACGTGTCCAAGTCACGGGGGTACTATAAAAACCTATTAAATAATATAAAACTATTTTAAAAGTATAAAAGGGCATCCAATCAGAGATTTTCCTTGAAGGATTTTTTAAAATAACTTACTAAATCGGTAAAGATTACATTACTGATGAAATTATACCATCTATTTGTTTTTCTACATGGCTAATATTCGAATATTTTGTATCTTAAAATACCATTAGTGTTTATAAAAATAAAGTCAAATTAGAAAAGGTTGCCTGACAAAAATAAGCCACATGTATTTCTTACTTTTTTATTCACACACAAAATAAAAAAATAAGTATTAATTTTATATTTAACGTGCAAATTTAAAACAGACATTCAAATTCGATAGAACAACAGCCGTTGTCCCGATTGCCGCCACTGTTAACTAACAGTGCTGTTAAGAGGTCGATAGTGTTTGACCAGGTGGCAGCCCTGTCAGTGCAACCAGGGCTGCATCACCAGCCAGAACATCTGTGGCAGAACAATAAAAAAAAGTTGTGTGTTTTCGGGATTTCATTTTTATTGGCCACCAAAGCGGATTTTTGGACCCCAGCCTCGCTCCGCATTGGACACAAACGGAGGAGCGCCAGCCGGGAGTTATGGACCACCACACGTACGCCAAAAGTGGATCCAAAAAGTGTAGGCAACAACAACACGTGTTCTGATTCGACGACTTTGTAAATGCACAAATCCGCTTCTATTTCTGTATTTTGCATTGTTTTTTAGGGTCCGCGGAGGAGAAACGCGAATTGGTGGTGCAGAGAATCGCGGCGGATGAGCTGTTCTCCCGGTATTCCCCCAAACACGCGGAACCATGGAAGTGAGTTTCTTGGTTATCTACGAAGAGAATTTGGGAATCGGGGAATTCCGGAGGTAGATTCAGAATCCCCCGATAAGACTGGCCATCGAGGTCACCAATTGAGTTTCAGACACAACAACTGGAAACCTATTTCTGAACCTTAGGCTCTAAGTCACCATATATTGCAGATATTGCGTTCAAAAATGAAAACTAAGGAGCCTTTGGTTTGGAATCAAGTCAAATTTCTCTAAAAGACAAGCCATTTGGGGTCACCAGAACTTGATAGAACCAAAAACACTTCACAAAGTGCCTTCTTTTTCTTTTGACAATCTATTTCAATAGTTATTAAATAGAATCCTTTGCTCTTAAGCAATATAAACATAAATGTGCAATATTTAGACATCAGCATTTCATTTAAATATTCAACATACCTCCAAGATGAAAACATTAAACCCCTTTGTTTGTCTTATTTCGAAAAAAATGACAAAGTTAAATTGAACTAAAAACAGATCAACATAATATAGGCGGTCCTTTTGGCAACTATTAAAATAGTTGTTAAACACTTTGCTCTTTGGCATTAAACTAGTTTTCTTGTTTTCAGCTAAAGTTAAGGTTACCAATCAAACGAAATTTAGGTACAAACTCCTCACGATAAATTCTTGAGTAATACTGAATACTAATCAAAAGCTTTAAATTATTTCTCAGCATAAAATTGTGATTCTCAAAAGCGTAGTTTTAAATTTTGGCTAATGATTTTTAGGTGACTTCCAAATAAAATACATTACAAATAAGTCGATTCAATAAACCAATCAGTAATTGCCCACCTCTCATAACCCACAGGAAATTCAAGGATATGGCCAAGATCGGCGACTTCAGCGAGATTGCTCTGCGCAAGCAATGGTTCTCCATGGTGCAGCGCTACCGCATCCACAAGGCCAACGCACTAGGCGTCCCGCTGAACAAGCAGACCATCGAGGAGCTGAACAAGGAGTGGGAGTTCTTCGGCCTGATCCACGCCTACATGAACCAGAAGACCGCCGACCTGCACTCGTATGCGCTCAAGGAGCCGAATGTGGAGCCGCCCAACAACAATCTGGCCATCGCCAGCGTCTATTCCTGCGACGAGGCGCAACTTTCGCCCCTGATGCTGGGCGTGCTCAACGACCACAACTTTGGCGAGCGCTCGCCGCCCAATGAGGGCGATACCGACGACATGGACGACTCCGCGCTGCCCTGCCATCGGAGCAACAGCAGCACCCAGGCCAACATCGCCCACGGCAACAACGATGAGCTGGACAGGCTGCTGGCCGAGGCCACAATGCGCAAGGATGCCGGCGGGGGTTGCGAGGATGCGAGCGAGGACGTCTGCATGACCACCTGCCACGAGATGGAGTGCGGCCCGGTGATGATCGGCGGCGAGGTCTCCCTCTCCAACAGTCGCTACAACGACTTTGACGAGACCTCCACGTCGACGACGCTCCCGACGCCGGTTGTGAAGACCGAGAAACTGGAGCAGCAGAGCGAGCCGGTGGCCAAAACGCCGAGGAAGCGCCTCCAGCGGAAGGTGCTCAGCGAGAAGGACAAGTATTACAGGTGAGTGATTCGGCAAACTGAGTGTAAAGGTAGTGGCATTGGCAAGCGGTGCGTTTGAAATCGCTTTAAATGTGCATTAAAAACTTCCTAATCAAATCTGTTGCCTAAAAACCAAAGTGCAACAGGTAAAAATATATACTTCGAAAGAAAAATATACTTCCAAATGCTATAGAAATTTAAATTAATATTCAATATACTTGAAAAAAGAAGTAAATATTTCAAAAGTATACAAATTCTAGCTATCTTTAAGCACTCGTTTTATTTCCCCCAAAGGACTTAAATGCCTATAGTTGATCCAGTCACTCTTGCAAACTATTAAAATCGAGAATCCAATTAACTAATGAATATCCCCCTTGCAGGCACCGCCGTCGCTACGAGCAGCGAATGGAGAAGCGTCTGATGGGCCTGTGCATGGTGGTGGGCCAACTGCTGAAGCAATTTGCGCCCGACCTGGATGTCCAGCCACTCCTGGCCCTGGGCAGCGACATGGCCCTCAACTCGCCGGCACCGAGTAGCAGTGACGAGGACGAGGAGGAGCTAGATGAAGAGCAGGAGGAGCAGGGAGTCGACACGGATGCGGATGCCGATGCGGATGGCATGTCACTAAGAATCTAAGCGGGCATTCGAAGCAGAGACACTACCCACATGATGCTCCTCCAGTCAACTGATTGAGCTAGTTCCTATCTGTTTCTCCACAATGGAATCGTATCGTGTGGGCGTTCAAATCCCATCTCAATTGTATTTCTTAAACAGCGGTTAACGATAGACACGTTAAGTGATAACGAAAACTGAATACATTAATTAAATGAAAGTTGTAAACACTAGATAAGCAGACAGCAAACCAAATACAATACGTATGGAAATGTAACAAGACTTCAAGAATTAATGGGTCTAAAGGGCAGGGAAAGCAAGCCCATCTGTATAAAAGAAGAACTCTTGTAAAAGAAGAACTATTTCAATTACTTAAATTCGCTTCAGCCAACATACATATTTTGCATCATGGCAATACTTCGGATTTGAAAGATATATTTTGTTTAGATGTTAGACGTAAGCCAAAAGCTAGATAGAATGTCTTTAAAGAATATGCAAATTAAAATATACAAATAACAATAAAATAAGGACGCATTGGGGGAATAGAAAATGTCGAATAAACCTTGATAACATAAAAGGATAATCACGTCGTTAATCGCGGTAAAATGTCATTAGCCAGAGCAGAACGATTGCCATCGGACAGACGAGGTAGTTGTTAATGGGATCTGGCTTTCAATCGGCCGTGTTCCGTGCGTCGCCCTTATCGCCACACATCCCCGTTTGACAGGCAGAAGCTCTCTGTTATGGATCGATACGGGTCTGGGTTTCCCTATCTGCTATGCCATGGTGCTCCGCTGACTGTACCGAACCACTTTCGCAATATGCTCCCAGCGCGGCAATACAATGGTTACTTAAATAGTGGCCCGAGTAGTTGGCAAGCACTTCCGGTGGCTATCTTTGGCACGGCCTTCGATCGGTGTCAAGTGGGGGTCGATAACCCACCGCTCGCTGCATTCCCATTCCCATTCCCGTTCCCGTTTTGGATCATCGGCCAGAGGCAGAATGGGAACGCCAGCCGAAGAGCGGGAAGAAAGTGGCGCTCGAAGCGATATGGTATATATATATGCTGCTATAAGGTCTCTAATCTCGGGGATGCGGGGCTCGTTGGCGGGTTGGTGCGAATCCGGGTGGGTTAGTGATTGTTTAAGCGGGTGACGGGGTTGGCGGGGCAGTAAGTAAGCTAAAGCGCAAGCAAGACAAGCTGTGGTTGTGACTGTGGCTGTGGGCTTTGGTGCAGGGCAGTTTCTTACGGCTACGTGGAATCTAAGGGATCAAGCATTCGACGGATGGAGGGGCGGCAGGAAGAAGGAGAGCGGGGCGAAGTGTGGGGAAAGGAGATAAAAGGCTGTTACACAAGACGATACACTGGGGTGGGTTCACTTTTTGCGCAAAATCGTAGGAGCAGAAGGTAATCTGTAAGCTTTGCCACGCTAACCGGCTCTAAAAACTCATCTGGTAAAATCTTTGATTATTCAGTTTTAAATTAAGACAACAAATATGATTTCGAGAAATATTTTAATATTTAAAGCGGATAATATTGGAGAATTTAAGGGCTTAAAATGGAAGGATTGCTTACACAAAAACAGTTGGTCAATTTAAAAAAAGAAAAGAAACCCAGCTTCGGTAAGCCGAATTTATTAATCCCTTAAAGTTACAAAAAAAATGTGATGGCCATTTTCCATATTTTTTTCTAATTATATAGTTGTAGGTTTAGGGAGAAAAAGCTAGTTCCGGTTCTAAATTCTATATTACCTATATAAAATAGTAGTCCAATTTTTGTTTTTAATCATACAAAAAGTTAGTCCTCAAGTTTTATATGTTCATGTTTAATTTGATTGATTTTCCTATTCATTAGAGACTAGTTTGAATAGAAACGCACATGAGGCTAAATCGATTAATCTTATGATCCTGATCAGGAATATATGTACATGTTAGGAAAGGTCTCCTTCAGTGCATTGTAAAATTTTAACAATTTAATAAGAACCATTGCCTATAATCGCTTACAGATTACATTTTGTTCCTAGGATTTTAACTATATCACCAACAAGACAAAAATCTTCAAAGAAACTGACAATTTGCATACAGAATGTTAAAATTTTAATAAAAAAGGGTTCAAAATCTTTGGGAAAACTGATTTTGAAAAAAGGGGTTTATGTTTTTTGTATGGAACTTCCGTTGCTTTGGGTATGACTTGTTGGGATTCTCGCTAGCGATTCAAGGTCGATCGATCCCACCCCGCTGGACACAAAGACAGTTAATATGATGGACAGCACACCTCGGGTTTGGCCTTCGCCTGGAAGGTGACGTAGCAGAGGTCCTCGTAGACCTTATCGTCGTCCTCGCTGTAGATGTAGGCGTACTCGTGCTCCGTGGACGCCATCGAGGATCGATAGTTGTAGACGGCGGCGGCCGCCTTCTGCAGTCGCTGGCTCTCGCTGACGAAGAGCGACGAGGAGGAGGACGTGGACACTAGACGGCCCATTGGCGGCCCCGGCGTAGAGGAAGTAACGTCGGCCGCTGCTTCGTTGGCCAAGGCCGCTTCACATTGACGGGCAAAGGATTCCGGGGTGGGCGTGACCGCATTGGAGGCGGAATCCGTTGTGGAGGAAACCACGTCCAGGGTGAGATCAAAGGAGAGGGCCCGCGAATCGCTGCTCTGGCCGCCCAGCAGTGGCGTCTCCACACTCGCATCATCCAAATCATTATCGATGGTCGAGTCGCACATGTTGGAGAGCGAGTCCTCGATGTAGTCATCGATGTCCTCGGTGCCGTTCTCGATGGTTATGTCGCTATTCTCGTCCAGCGAGCCGCTCTGCGAGGTTCTATCGTAATACTCCGCCGACGAGGAGGCGGAAGCGGAGACGTCAATGCTGCTCGTCTTCCGCATGCTCAGATCGCTGGGGGATTCCCCCGATTGCGACCCACATAACATCACCACCAGGAAAGCAACACCCATTCACAATTGCATTCACACACACACACACACGTTCCGATTCATTCACCCAGGGTGTTAGATAGAGATAGAGATAGAGACAGAGAAAGAGAGAGAGAGAGTGTGTTAGATAAAGCTGGACAATGGGATATATGCTTGCGTCTGCGTCTGCTCGATATCACAGAAAATAATGAATGAGGGATATATGTACATATATCTGAGATAATTATTCAGTGATTTCGAATCACTTCAACTCAATCTAAAAGTACCACACATAGGGTTTTTCGCATACAAACCACTTTCTGGAATATATTATATCTTTGCGGAGTTTAAGACTTTTTTGTATCTGTTGTTATATAATAGTTACTTTCGGCAAGAATTGCATTTCGAATTTAAGATTTTATCACGACTTGGATACTTTTCCAAGTGCCAGAAGGAAAACAATGATCGATAAGCAGCCAGACAAGGGCTTATTCATATGTAGACTTGGAACCGGGAAGTATGTGGGCGCATAATGAGATCGGTTCGGGTCGCATTGGTTTTTGCATTAGGGGCGGGGTGACAGGGGTTTGCCATGCTGGCGCAGGAAATGCAGGCACATCGCCTGTCATCCAGTAGCAGCGGATAAAGCGGGGTAACACGGGACAGTAAATAGGGACACGGATCCCGCCCAGAATTGACTACTCACGTGGAATGCAGGTCCTTGTAGATGGCTTCGTCCGAATGGGAACGCTCACTGGGCGATAGCTGCAGGTTGAAACCACTGAAAAGAGTTTAGAATTAATAAGTTAATAATAAGAATTCATACAAAATAAAACGCATTTTGAAAAATAAATAAACTTTAAAGGTAAATGTATTTTTGCCTATAAATACTAACATATTTTAATTGTTTTGCTTTATAGAAATTTTAGTCCCTTAAAATGATATTTAATTAAAGATGCCTAACTACTTTTCCAAAAATATATATGTATATATTTATTAGTAGTAATTTACTTTCACCGATTTGTCTCGATTCCTACAAATTAAAATTCCTATTTCTTCGGAAATAAATAATGAAGAATGGAATACGTTCTATTTTTACTATTCATTATTTGATTAATTATTTATATTTCCGTTTCCAGAAATGTAGCTTATTTATAAAGCTTGTACGTCTCGAAACAATGCCATGCATTTCGGTAAAAATTCCGATTTAGGTCATTGAAACCAAAATGCAGTTGTAAACATGGCCGAATGATTAATTTGATGTGTTATTTTTGAAAAATCGCATTTGCTACGCACTGAAGAATTTTAATATTACGTGCTGGTATTTTAAAAATGCACCTGAGTCAATATTATTTAGTTGAATTCCTTTCTATTAATAACAGCTTAGGCACTTTTGTTAATGCATAAAAACTTTGAGTTTGGCATTATATATTTTAAATTACTCTTAATACCACCGCATAATTGTCCTTTTCCCATTTCAAGGTTTAAAGTCAATATGAGGACGGTTTAATAATATTTTGAAATGAAAATAGCAATCAAAATAAGCGTACTAATAAGAGATTTGTAAAAAAGATTCCATATATATATATAACTGATCCAAAAACAAATCGCAAAAAAAAGGCTAGGAAGTGAATACCTCAGGGTCGGAAATGTCTCCTTTACTGCGTTGCAAACTTTTGACTGAAATTATAAAACCCTCTGCAAAATAGATCATCGATCTTACTTAAGACGACTTCCAAATTTAGAATATTACCTTTTTTTACAAGTAATGTGATAAACAGGGTGGATTTAATATCTTGGTATGGAAATGTTTTTCACATTATGTTTCGGTCCATCACCTTGGAGCAAATCGATGAAGGATCAATATGTCTGCGCTGATATCTTGTTTTGGGGTTTCCACCAGAATAATAATAATAAATAACAGAAATAAAAGGGCACCAATGGTTTGGGACCAATAAGCTAAGTATTCATTAAAAACTTTAGAGAAATTAAAAACCATAATTATCTTTGTGCTATTGTGCAAAATTCATACAATAATAACTCCAAGTGTAAAGTTGTTATTACAACCAAGGGTCTACAACAAATTGTTATTCTAATATGTTATAATTAATAAATTTGCGCAATAAATATTATGTTTAATGTTAAGTCAATTTTTAAAATATTATGTTTAATGTCAAGTCTCTTTTTTATATAATTATGCTATTTGTTTGCCGCAACTGCATATCTGCATATTTGTATACGTTATACAGATTATACAAATTGTTATCTCATAATGTTTTAGGTTCAGCTTAATTCTCAATTTTGTTTCAGATTTCTTAGTATTTTAGTTATTATTTTGCTTTGCTTAACCTGAGGTTCATCCAAATACCGATAGTAGAATTTGATAAAGTCTAAATTATAACAATCCCAGGCCTTTGTGATTTAATCTGACTCTAATCAAACATTCCTCTCTGACCCCCAGGTTGTTTTGGATTTGTATCTGAATGAATGGGCTGGACTGGGCCGACTTATTTGTCCACGGTTTTGGACACTGGTCTACTCACACAAGATCCGGATGCATCTGCTGCACCTTGCGGCACTGTGACAGCTTGGAGAGTGTGATGAGGACGCGGTGGAAGTTGGTCAGGTCGTACAGCATAGTTGGCTCGAAGAGATCGCCGTCGCGGATCCCGAAATTGTTGTGGCACACGTCCAGGAACAGCTTGATGTTCTTGCTGCACAGGAACTGCAATGGTTGTGGTAATCCTTTAGCTTTAGATGCTCACTACGACACTATGCGGGACATCCTCTCGATTCGCTTCTTTCGTCTATTACCTGTGCCATTTGCGGCTTGCGATTGAAATCCCGCGGATCCATGCTGCTCGGATCCAAATGGATGACCAGATTGCACAGGAGGACTCCATCGCGCAGTGTCATGGCCAGGATGCGGATCTCCGAGTCCGCCTGGGCGGCCTTGTGGTCGGGTGGGATGACCTTGCACCTGGTCAGCCAGGCGACGCACTCCCTCCACAAATCGCCGTTCACACCTGCCACGCCCCCAAAACTGTTGCTGGCCATGGCAAAGAGGGAGGGAGGGGAGGGATTTGGGCGGGTCAGGCGGCCTAACTGGAAACTCGGTGAGGTTGGGGGTGGGGCGGGAATACGGCACGGGAGGCGGGGCGACTCTCGTTGCGTTAATGAAAACAATTGAGGCTCATCAGTTGGCCGTTGCGAGATACACAGAAAACAACAAAAACAACTGGAAGCGACCAATTCGAACAGCGGGTGAATCGCGTACGTCAGCGCTTTTTTTACCCCGTTTTTAGACCGATTTTCACAAACACTGCACTCGGCTGGGAAAGAAGTGCTGCGAGTTTGGTTTTAAAATAAATTCTTTTATTGCAAAATATTGGGTTTATCGAAGAGGAAGAGGACTCGACTTCCGATATCAGTCGATGCCACCGGTGTGACCGCTTGCGGCTTGTTAAAATATACTGTCGTGATCGAAAAAATACTAAGATTAGGCATCAGCGCTGCATAATCAGATGTTTTCCCGTTGTATTTAGCTAGATTTTTGAAGGGATTGTTTGCACACAGCGGGAATTTTAAATTCTGGCTATCTGCTATATGATTTCGCAGTTGGGCTTAATTAAGTCATTTGCAAAAAAACAAATGGACAAAGAGAACAGTCTAGAAAATTTAAATCACAATAAAAACAACGTTATATATTCGTATGCATGTGTCTCTTTTGTTAGGACTTATTGAAGTGACCACTTTAATATGAATAACTATAAAAATATAAGTCAATATCGATGTTATTAATGAAATAGAGAAGACTGGAAATATATTTAATAAAAAACTCGAAAATATTACTATTTTTCGCATTTGTTTTGGTTGATATTTATTGAAGCGGACCTCTTTGGCTTAGTTGGTATTTTCCCCTGCCCTTCGGACGGTCACACTGAAGCGGCGAGCAGCCCAATAAAAAAAATGTAAATTGTGCAGCAAGTGAAATTGAAAAGCAATATATTTAATTGTGATCCGCGTGTGCTGACATTAAGAAAATCGGCGGGCGCCGATTGCCGCCCCCGCCCCAAACATCCCCGCAAAACGCTTAACCCCGCGATGGCCTCCCTACATTCCAGTTGGCGTTTAGGCAAGCGGAGCAAATTTCAACCACGCATTAAAGGTAATGTAACGAATTTGTTAATTGACATCAACATGAAATCGGGATGTTGTCGCAACCACCGCTGGCGTTTTCCCTTCCTTTCCCGTTGTTATTTTGGCGATTTCCGGGGGAAAACAGCAGCTGTTGCTGTTGTGGATCCCATACCGTTACCTTTACTCTGGAAACCCCCTACCCGTTCCCCTTTCTTATGGACTTATTCAATAATTGGTTGCATTGTGATTGTTGACATTGATGTCAAATGCACGGCAACAACAACCAAACACGCTGGCAGCAGAGCTGTTAAGTCGACTGCGCATAACGGTACCGATGTATACCGATTTACTTAACCGATGTATATCGTCAGCATGGCATATTCTGATCAGCATTATTTCCCCTGCGCCAGCGGATCCTATATTTACTTTTTATTTATGTACATATTTTTATTTTTATTTTGGGTTGTTGCTACTGTTGTTGGTGTTGTTGCCATTTGACCAAATTCTTCGGCTACATGTTGGCCGACTATTAATAGACGGTCGCCAGCATAAAGAGAGCCCCCAAAAAACGATGACGCAGCACCAACAACAACAACATAAACATCCACAAAACATTAACAATAACAATAACAGCAAGAAGACATTAAATGCTCGATTTCTTCCATTCATCATGTCCTTCAGTCTTTCGCTCTCTCCGCCTTTCCCTCTCTCGCGCTCTTACTCTTTTCACCCAAATCCATCATACAAGTACAGTTAGCTGTAACGACGACAACAACAACAACAACAACAAAACTGTTATGACGCCGTTGTTGTCATTTCACGTGCACAGCCTGCTTCGACGTCGGCAGAGGCACAGGCAGCGACGGCGGCAGAGCTGATTAGTTTCGCCCGTGGATCAATTTCACTTTGATCGCTTTCTATTGCAAGTGGCTACTTTCATGCATGTGCGCATCTACAGACTGCAGATCATTAAGCTGATCAGGATATACATATGTACATATCTATGAAGTAACGATCTCATTCCATACTTCATTCCCGAGTTTCTGTTTATAATTTGTAATTTTTATGTTCAGCCGTATTCATTGTAATTTGACTGTCCTGTCGAATGTACGGTCATCTTGTATGTATTTCGTAAAATATATTTTTTAAAATTTATTCAAGATTTTCTTTGAAAAGTGATCCTTTTATCGTAAATTTTTAAATACAAATTTCTTTAAAAACTTCCAATATTTTCGAAATGGTATTGTATTTGAATAGACTTCAAAAGAATTTGGTGCTTGTTTTAGGCCCGTTAAACCCATGTTACCCCTTTATGAATTTGATTTGGAAGATCTAGAATTTAAATGCTTAAGAAACCAGTCATGATTTCTGTTTTAAAATTATAAAGAGCTTTATTTTATCGTTAATAAACAATCTTATTTATCATTAATGTTTTTCGCTGGCCAAACACTCTTATTTTGAAAAAGATGGAAGTTATTCATATTTGGGCGACTAGAATTAAGATCGAAAAGCGCAAAACTTAGAATTAAGCTCAGAAATGTACATATGTCTAAACTCTTTACATTATCTACTGTCATTACAGTTTCGCAGGATCCGGAGGACTTTTACCGCCTGGATCCCACGCGATCGGCCGCCGAAAATGCCTTCGACATATACTCGATGCTCTGCGTGGAGGAGACGCGAGACACGAAGCGCCTGTTCCTGCTCAACGCGCTGGCCTCGCTCTGTTTGGGGGCCCGAAAGGGCTCCCACCACAGCAACATACGCTTCAGCACCGAGGAGCTGCTCTACTGGTAAGGCTTCTTAAGGTGACTGGGGTCTCATGTGCCACTGCTAATGTCCTCCATTTACTACCGTTGCAGCCTGAGTGCCTCACTGGTGCACACCTTTACCCAAGTGCGAGCGGCGGCGCTGAGAACGATCCGCTATGCCCTGAGCACGCCTAAGGACATCAAGGCGTTCAATGCACTACAGCTGCAGCACCTGCTATGCCGCTCCATCGACCTAATGCTAAAGAACGACGATGAGCGCGTCCAGGCACTGAAGCTGGTGCGCAAGATGCTGGCCATCGCGCCGGAGGACATCAGTCCGGTGGTGGTGCGGTGCCTTGTCTCGCTGGCCGACAGCGGGATCGAGGAGAACGACAACCTGCTGCGCGCCTGCCTGGCCACCCTGGCGGAGTTCGCCGTCCTCAATCCGGCGCTGCTTATCGTCTGCGGCGGCGTGACCTCCATCACACGCAACGTGTTGGAGTGCCACAATCCCCGAATAGCTGAGAGCCTCTGCGGCGTGCTCCTGTACCTCCTTGAATGGCCGCAGACGAGGAATATCTGCGGAGTGCGGCTGGATTGCCTGGCGGCTCCGTACTGCGACTTCACCTACAGGCTCGGCATTATGGATAAAAACAAGTAAGTGCCCCGCATAAACTACCCGAAACATTCCTTCAAACGACATTTCTTTAACCAAACATTCCTTTGAACGACATTTCTTTAACCAAATTTGTTAAAAATAAATATTACAAAAATATCATTAAAATAAAAAACCTGCTGACAGCTAAACAAACACCATGCATATGCAAACTGCAAAAGAACACACATTTACGGAATGTTCGCAAAGGCTAAATCAGATTTATAGGCCAAACGTCTTCGGATCGATTTCACTCATTGATTGGCCGAAAGTAAAGGTGTAATCAATAGTAATGTCCGACTGAAAACATTTGGCTGCGTTAACCAGCATTACAAAGAAAATACTAAATAAATCATTAAAATGTTTATTAATTACATTTTATGTCCCAGAAAGTCCTACAGTTCTGTACTATCACCAACAGTACTATTAGCAACACCCCTCTCACAGAATTGCAATTCTCTTCCAGAGATGCGCGTGAACTTCGCTACACTAGCTGCCGGCTGGCACTACTATCCGTGCTGCGCAGCTGGACGGGCACCCTCGAATTCTGTGATCCTAGCAAAGCCTCAGGCCTGAAAGCAATAGTCGACGCTCTTTATTTAAACCAGATCGAAGTCAGAGTAAGTACATCCCTATTTCTAAACGTAAATGTGAAAATCCTAACTTTATAAAAATTAATTTCAATAGAAAGCAATACTGGACTTGCTGTATGAGCTGCTCTCGCTGCCTCAGCCCACGTGGACGGACGACTATGCGGTGGCGTTGCAGGCCGTGGACCCGTCGGACTTCCAGGCCTCCTGGCTGCTGAGCAATGGCTTCGTGTCCGCCGAGGGGCGCTCCATTCTGCCAACGCTAGCGGCAAGGGCGCCGAGCGTGGTGGAGCAACATCTGGCGCTGATGCTCTATTGTTTCCTGGAAACTGGACTGCTCAATGCGCTCGTTGAGGTGGCGGTGGGCAGCGACCAGTTCGTCTCGGTGCAGGCCACGGTGCTGATTGGCAAGATTCTGCAGCTGATGCACACGCACCTACCGCCGGACATCTGCAGCACGAGTTCGGCCCTGCCCACGCTGGTGGGTCATGCCACCCAGGGAAACCAGCAGGCCAATGCGGCGGTGGCCGCCTTACAAAACTACCAGAAGATGCTGCGCCAGCGGCCGGCATCGTGCAGCCTCTTCCTAGACAGCATTATCCAGGGCGGTGCCCTCATCCAGACGCGTCTGTTTCGTCGGCACCTAAACGTGCAAGAGCAGGCGGGTCCTGTGCTCCAGCTGCAAGACACGGCAGAGGCCGCTGCCGCTGCCGCTGCGTTGCCGCCTGGCCTGTTTCGGGCCACGCTCGATCGCTCCCGACTGGACTCTGTCTCTTCCAGCGACGAGTCCAACTCGCAAGTTTCGGGCTCGTCGAGGTCTAGTTTTCGACTGAAGCGAAAGCTCTTCCCGCAAGCCTTCTTTGACAATCGGCTGCTCACAGACTCTCGAGTGCTGACCCAAGCGGATGCGCATCTCTGGGACTGGGATGTTATCACCACAATACTTAAGGTATGCCCAAATAAATTAAGCGTTTACAGAGCTGTAAACTTTCATGGAAAGTTGAACAGGATTTGAAGTTAACAGGATTTTTTCGTTTAAAAAAAGGAATTTAATTTAATTTATATTCTTGACCTTATCTCTTTCCAGTCGAATTTAATCCGCAAGCTGGACTACACTCTGGGAAAGTTCCTGAGGCGCCTCGTTGACTTTTACAAGCCGCGCAACAATCGGTTCTCGCATCAGGATTTGGTACCAGGGCAGAGCCTGCCAACCTATGTCAGCGCCGGCCTGGATTTGATCGATGTTCTCTTGGGCAGCAGCGAGGTGTGTAGAGTCGTTGCTATGTTGTTATTCCCTACAAATATTTTAT